TTCCGATCTCCCCAAAACCCCAAAACCCCATACCTCAACTATACACTTGAGAAATTACAAAATAGGACATCTAGTTTGAAACGTATTTTAAATTTATAAGGTTTAAGTAATATTTTTTCATAAATATCAAGAAATGAATTAGACAAGTGAAAATCTAGATGCACTTAAAACTTATTAAGACATACTATTTGAAGAAATGACTTCAAGAAAAAGCAATGGTTCTCATCATAACTAGCCAAGTAAATTTCTAATCATCTTAAATCTTAGGAGAGCAGTAAAATTAAAAAGTAAAGACTAGAGGTTCATAGAGATCTGAAACAACAATTAGATTTTCAAGTTCTTCTAATCTCTCAAGAATATTTAAAGGATTACCTTAAGATCCAAGAATTAAAGGCACAGGGTAGATGACTTCATTAAATTAGATTTAGTATTCTTAATCACAGTCAATTTTAAAAGATATGAGGCCAACATTAGAGATCTAAGTAATTAATAACTTATATATTCATCTTTTTTTTTAATTTTTTTTACAGATGAAGAATTACTTAAGCTCGATCCAAAATGAATATTAGAAAAAGGATTAAGTTTTAGAAAAACTGAAGTAAGAACTTGATTTCTGGAAAGGTTTATCTCAAGCAACTCAAGGACATACTTAATTAGATGGGAATTAAATATCCTAGGTCAAACGACTTCCTGCTGCATTTACTTCGAAAATGTCTTTCAGATCTTCTATTCTTGAGAAAACGGTTGACAGTTCCATACATAAAGGCTATGATAATTACTTGACAGCCTATACGATTGAATAATTACTGGAAAAGCAAGATTTCCTAGCTGTTAAGTTATAGCAGCTAGAGTAAAAATGTCTTGAAGAGACCTCTGACTGGCTTACATTAGACAAGTTAAAGAAAAGATTATATACTTAGAAGCTGTTCGATTATCAAGAGTACTGTCACAAAATGCCAGAACTTCATAAGCTAATGCATATGTATGGTAATATAAAGCAAGCTGCTTTTCTTAATTAGGCCTCACTTCTGACTGCAACTTCAGGATTCACTAGATGCAGGGATAATTTGGTTGAAATTATTAGAAACAACACAGAGAAAGTTAATTTAAAAAAATAAGAATTAGTACACTAAGAAAATGAAGTGAAGTCTATGAAATTTATGATAACTCAGAAATCTAATTCATATTAAGTTGTTAAAAGAAAGTTAGAACTTCTCAAAAAGGAAAATAAAGAGATAAACATTGATTACATGAAATCTCAGCTCTTTTAAAAAAGAAAATTTGAAATGTTACAACTAATTGATGCAAATTTATTGGCTGGACTTTATAATTACTATAACAATTAAAGAAAATTTGAAAAAAATGAAAGGAGTAGTACTCATGATGAGGACATTAGGAATATGTTCTTGTTCGAACTGAGACTTGCATAAGATGAATATTAAAGAGAACATGAATATTATATGACTAAGTATTGCATTAATGACCTTACTCCTGAGATAACATATGTTGTACAATAAAAATTTGAAAACATCGAAGAAAAATAATGCTTTGACTCTGAGAGTGTCACAAAGCTAACTAACTATATCGAGGAATCTACAATATACAATTAATCATTACAAATTAAAAGTAGTGATTTAACAATTGAGATATCTAAGCGCAAGGATGAACTAAATGAGTTAAGAAAGCAGTTAGATGACTATAAAAGAAAAAATAGTCTCGATTAGCATTTAGTGACAGGGTAATCAGGTGCCTCTTTTATTTTCGAAGAAGATCTCAGAAATAGTATTAACACATCTTTCCATTAGCAGTTTAACAAACAAAGCATTTAATAAATTGAAAAGTAAATAGAAGAGAAAAAAGAAGAAATTGTCAATTAAAAGATTTTTGTAAAAAGCTTTTAGAACATAGTGAAAGATATTGTACTCAAGATCTGCGCGAAAATTCTTAAAATAAGAGAGCATGCTCCACAAAGACTGAGGGAAGTTCATTTTCCAACTGAATTGATGAATTTAATCTGCTAATATCAAAAGCCACAGGCAAGATCTACTAAAAAACTAACAAATGATTTTTAAAACATTTTGCTTTACACACCTATAGTTCCAGACATTTAAGGCTCTATTAAATTAGACAATGGTCAAGATACTCTTGGACTTCAAACTGAATAAGATGAAGAACAAGTAGTAGATGTATTTGCAGTTTAAAGTGAAGACGAAGATAGCAATAAGTCTGATTCATTTACAAAAAAAGCTGAGGCTGATGTTAAGAAGCTATTGAAAAGTACAGTTGAACTGAAGTAAAAGAAGAAGTAGCAACAGATAGAGAATTAACAAGCACTTAAGAAAAAAGATGAAGAAACTAGTAATGATACTAATTAAACGAAATCAAAGTTGAGTGCCTAAAGAGACCTTGTGTCCGATTTATGGTCTAGAATTAAGGAATAAGATAAAGTGCTTTAGCAACCATATGACTCAGATAATACACTTAAAAAGAGTTTATAGTCAGCATTGAAGAAAATGATGGAAGGCTTGTAAAGAACTTTGCATCTTAAAGTCCTACTCTTTCAGATAGATTATAACAAATAGATACTTTATGAAGAATTGAAATAAGATGGAACTCTGCCAGAAAGCTATGATATCTCAATTAAAAGATTCAACAAGCATTATGATATTTGCTATAACAAACTTAATTTAGAAAACAGACTTCCCAAAAGAAGTAAGAACTCTAAAGTTCAAAATTACAACGAGTTGAATGAAGATTAAAACTACAATGAGAACTCTTTTTTAAAGCACTAGTACGACAAGGAGAAAGCAGACTTTGAAAAAAGATATAGAGAAATGATTTTCGGGAAGAAAAAGAAGAAAAGTAAGCTCAGCTTCAAAGAACGAAAGAGAATAAAGTTCTTCAACTCACTCCATGAAAGAGGACACAATGTGGATAAAGTTAGTGAGCATCAAACTAATGTCAAGTATACACAAGTCCAAAAGACTATAAGCAATTACCAGAAATCTGAAAATAAATTCATTAACTAAATATCTTAAAACTTCGAAATGGCTTAAAGATAAATAGAACAAGCTACTGGGTAGGTGTATATTAGCAAGAAGTATAAGCAAGGCGGTTCTCCAACCAGTAATTAGAAAAATGCAGGACCTCAGAAACTTGAAAGCTCAAATGCAAAGCAGAACTAAATCGAAGTATTTAGCCAGTCAGTTATTCCACAAAATTAAACGTAAAATTAAATTGGCTCAAGGAGGAATTCTAGGATAGGAATAGGCTTAGCTGTACCAGAGGAATTGTTAAAATAAAATGACTTTAATGACAAAGCTATTAATGAAAGAAAAGGTAGTGCTGATCTTTTGAGTCCTCAAACTGTTACAATTCCAAGTTCAAGCACTCATAAACCAAGAAATTTCTTTGGACCCAGTTTTAGTAGGGATTATCTATAGACAGGTTTGCCAACACTAGTTGAAAAATCTCAAGTTGATAATAATACTTAGTTGAGACAAGGTAAGCATGGAATGAAGATGTAAGATTCATTTAAAAGCTAATAGTTAGAGAAGATTTAACCCAATTCTACTAGAAACAAATCACTTTTTAAAAACCATGAAAGCCAAGTAAATCTTTAAAATGGCAGGTCTTCATCATCATCTTCATGGTTTAAAGTCAATGAATCTAAAAGGTCTTTCTAGGCTGTTAATAATTTCAGGAAAAACACACCAACTATTGATACTTTACTTAATGAAGACATAATAACTTAAAGTAGGCCTAAAATAATGATAGGCAACTTTAAATCACCATAGAATTAAGATCTTAGATCTGAGACTATTGAGAATGCCAAGTAGGAATATTTTAGTACCAGGAATTCAAGGGTCAAGGCAAATCAGATTTTTAAAACAATAGTATCTCCAGAGGACAACAAAAATAAAACAGATAGAATTTGTGGGGCAGAAGAATAATAAATTGAATCAATAAAGCATAATGAGAAGTTGACTAAACCTTAACTGATTAAAGTTAAATCTGATTAGAAATTTGGTAGTCTTGAGAAGATATATGAGAGTGATTTGAAATTTAAACAAAAGAGATTAGCCCTTTGATTATGATAATGATTAAATGAAAATATATAATTTAGCTATTGATATAAATATCTGTTTTTTATCAATGTGGGGTTTTGGGGTTTTGGGG